TTACCACTCAAGTCTCTTCGGTCAGCTCTTCCCCTACAGCTTCCTTCGCTCTACACTTCTATCAGTTTTATTGGCACTTGAAAACTACTGCGTCTTGCAAAAGGTATCGATCATAATTTCGGCAGCATATCCTTCGTATGAGTTGCCTATAGGAGCTTCAATATTGATGGTCTGGGCATGAATTATTGCTGTTCTCGCGGCGAAATTATCGTATAAACATATTGATCGTTGCGCTTGGCTGATGACGTGATCAGGAATCAAACGAAAAAAGCACGGTCAGTGATGGTTGATGCACTGTTAAGCTGATCGGTATCAAAGCGTTATAAACTGCCGCCTAAGTATCATTTAACTCGCTGATCTGCGCCTCACAACAGAACGAGACCAGCATTGCGCCACCATTCGAGAAGCATGGTGAACGAGAAAGGAAGCGACTTCATCATCTATTGGCAGTAGCACAATGGGGACTACGTGAAGCAAAAAAACGCTTATAACGTAGTCACAGCTCAATCTGTCATTACAAAGAGTGTAAATTGTTCAAAAACACATGTGAACTGCTTGATTGGAAGCAACCTAGGATCAAACAGAAAATGTCTGCGTCCGGCTTTGGCACCAAAGAAACAGACCTACGTTCACTTTAACCGACAATTACGAAGACGATTGAGAGCTCGAGGAGGTTTTGAGCTCTACATTGCACGTAAGTTTGCACGCTCTTGCTGGTAGCACTCGTCCGAATATTTAGGACTCTTCAATTATGAACGACCTTTTATTTATCTCAAAGCAAGCGGTGTTTATGTGAAATGCTGCACTAAAACGAGTGAGCCCGGAGATCCAATCATTTCTTTAATATCAATGCCAACAAGAGTGGCAGCGATAAGAGTGGTAACAAATGCATGTCCAAGCGTAACTCAACCTTCACGGAAGCTCTGCTGATTTTGGGAAAGCAAAGTCTGAACTTAGAGCGCAGCCGTCTCGAGTTGAACCAAAAGCAGTTCGAGTCTGAGATACAGGTGCGGTGAGACGAGATGAAGCAGCGCAGGCACGGGTTCGAGCTAGTGAAGTAGTACAAGATTGACGAAATGCCTTTGGATGAATGACGAAGGAACTTAGCGCATTCGGAAAGTTTAATTCTTTTAAAATTGACTTAGTACAAGGTGCTTTGGAAAGCCAGTATAAAACCATTTGCAAGGTATATTTCTCGTCTTCATCTCCTTGGTATTTCGTCGCAACTCCAAATCTACGCACATCATCCACGATCATTGCGTTCATTGCTAGCGTCAAGACTAATATTGTAGGATTAGGCACGTCATGATCGAATTCACAGTCGCGGCACACGTCGCCCCGTCAATCACCAGAGAAATTTAATTGTAGTCATATGAATTGTGCGTTGTTCATCTTGATATAGCGCTCGATTGTCATTCGCATCGCCGAGAAATAATATCTAACGCTCGTAATCTCGTATGGCTTTGCTTTGGCGTCTCATTAGATGCTTTCGGAGAGCGCAGGTCGAATACTGGAGAAGAAAACCTCCATCCGAGAAATAGAGCTGGAACCTTAAAGCCAGAACTCTTATTTTGTGCTGTTTGCTTTCATGAACACCACTTCGATAGCTAACGAGTGCAGCGCGAACCCGTCGCCAATGATTGCGAACAATCTGTCCGACTCATCATCTTCCTATAACTTGTAATCAAGCGCAAAAGCTGTGCCATCAATCATATTGATTGCTCTTCGCAGATGGCACATTTTTTGATAATAACAAACATTTTCGCACGTTCTTGGCCACTCGGCCACGACACAAACTCGACTAAGCGGCCGTAGATAGCATCCGCCAAATCAAATTTTTGTATTATTACGCTACTCAACATACTATGCGACATTTTGATAAGTGCCGACGATGCCGCTGGTTGCTTTGTTTGCGGGTGAAGCTTGATCATCCCGCAGAACCACCACAACAAACTCGAGGATGTCAAGGGCTATTCTTAGATACGTACTTGACTGATGAAAAAGAGTTCATCAGCAGTCCACTAGCCGATTCTGTTCATCGCATTTGGTGCAGCAATGTATCGTGACATTTGATTATGAGGGTAGGAGTAGTAGTTCATCCTGAGCATTAGAGGGGCGCGGAACAGCACGAGAAGTCGATTTAGCTCCTTCAAGCTGACATTTTCGTGGAATGCTTTTGTGACAATATGGAGTGTTGAGCGTGCGATTGATGGACAAACACTCGTGATAGAAGCTCGCTCATACGATAACAGCCTCAACTTAAAGGCCGATGACTTTTTTTGCATTTGATGGCGATGCCGGTAAAAGCCCAACAATATCGATTTCTTGAAATCTTTTTTTTTAGCCAAAATAACCGATAAACACTCGTCTTTTTCGTCTTCAGTTGCAAGACCCAATCCTCCGCGAATGCACGCTGGCTCAGTTTCTGATTCTTTTTGGCGATTTGGCAAGGGTTAAGCCTCTTGCCGACAGTACGACGTCAAAGGTAAAGTCTGCCGACTTGTCTGACCGCGTTGTCAAGCAGACACCTCCTGACGGGGAAGGATACATTGAGATGGATTTTTACGTTTCAAGACGCGAGCCCGATTAGGTAAAGTGGAATCTGTAAGTGTCCAGGATACGAATTGCAATGGACAACGATAATTCTGCTGCTATGAACTATAGATTATTGAACCATATTTTATTTAATCCAATCACACCAAATGTGCAGTACTTGCCCCTTTTATACTGAGACTCTCACGTGCGAGCGATCGCACGAGATTTGGCCGGAAGGGTCGGCTTTCGCCGGGAGAGTAGATGCATATGTGTTGAAAGTCACCCTTACAGATGAGCTGTCCTAGCGTGAAGCTTGAATCACAGTCTCTAGGTAATAATACAGTGCAGATTCTTCTGGTTACTAAAGTGTTAACAGATCTTTAGGGATATTGAATTTAATATCTGCATGGAAATGTAGCAAGTAGCCTTCCAAGAAACATGTATCCATAAATATTGAAGCGTCTCATATATCGTGAAGACTCAGCTATACTTCACTCCTGGCCACTGCTATTACTCATGCTGGACAGTTACGTCACTTCGACAACGCAGTTAAAACGCACTTGTGTAACACAGCATGGCGTATGCGTACCGAAAAAACTATCGCCAGTAGAGCTTGGAAGATTATAAACAATCCTAAGAATCGTGCCAAACGTTGACCCATAACCCTTGTATCGTCCAGAGCCACGTTACATTTAATTTCACTTTAAGCTAGTCACATTCAGCGATTTAGCAAGGTATGCTTTTTGCTGCCGAGGACGGTCGTCGCACACTTTAAATTGGAAGCTTGTTGATGCAGTTATTGGCATTGATTGTCTATATTTGTGATTTTGATCTGCTACATTTTCGTGACTACTCCAGCGGTGTAAATTATAATTGAAGATCATGATCTCTACATCCACTTGCCGTTAGTCCGTGTATAAAATTCTGAAAATTTTACTGCATATACCGTAGTAGCGTTGTCCAAAGCTTTATTGGCTCTAACCGCTAGGCTTCGAATGCATGACGCTTATCCTACCACTTCTTCTAGTGACACTGGGAGATATAACATGGGCATTAGTGTCCCGCGTTCTATTTCATTACGTCAAAATCATTTAACTAAGCTTGCCTCGTCAATAGCACAAATGTGTTATGAAGTGACCGATAGCTTAGCATTCCCACGTTGAATGATCCAAGGATGTCATGTTAAATTTTGATTCGTAAATGTACGAAGAACAATAAAGATTGAAGCGGACTGCGCTTTCTCAATAGATCTGAATGCTACAGTATGTTTCCTTATGCTTTTATTGTCTAGTCTGGCGAACCGACTTCGAAAAGCAATTTTGACCAGAAAACTCGAAACTGGTCGCTAGAAATGCAATGCCGTACAGAAACTAATCTGCCTTATGCCGTCAGCAGCGATGTTAATTCCATATATTGTCGGTACATCTTCAATTATTTTCCGTATGACTTACATATGGTAAAGCTTTCACTTTCGTTTTGTGACACTTGAGGGCTGTGCTTGACTACTATGCGGCATAGTCTCAATATTTTCGTGATCCCAGCCGGTGATCTTTTCGATCGACGAAGACGATTCCAATGCCCGATTTGCTGGTCCACAGCGTCCAGCAATAGGCATGTTACTTATTGTTGTGCTTAAAAGATAATGCAAACATACCTTTTTCGATTAAGAATGCTATTTAGCTACGTACATGCAGTTGGGTCGAGCCCAATGCCATCTCTATACAACTACACTATGATGGGCGGAAAGCAAAGCAACAAAGAAGAGCATGCCATACAGATAAATTGATCCTGTCCTCACGTGTAGCTCATTAACTGGCACAACAGCTCTTCGTCCTCCTTTTTGACGAAGCGACCTTTAACGCGCAAGCGCGAGTTTGCAAAATTCTTGCGAACATCGTAATCCACTTTCTTGGCCCACACGCGACGCTTACGCTTTTCAAGAAAGCGATCAATACGCTTTCGTCGGGCTTCAGGGGAGTAACTGCCGATGTATTTGCTCTCAGATGAATTCGATGTGCTTTCTCTGCGCTGGTCATTCTCATTAGCTGCCGAAATTTCCATACGAATGAATTCTTCTAGGTGCTGACGACCCAGTCCACCATAATCGCTTCCTTCGGAAGAGCACACAGAGGCTAGGCGTACGCGCTGCCTGTACTCACTATCGTACCACGTGCCATCATCCTCAACACCCGTAGGGCTGCAGTCGCGACCCAAGAAAGATTTGTCTTCCTGCACGCGTGAAAGACTGCTAGATTTGTACTTCTTACCGCACGAAGAGGAATATTTCCGATCAAAGGATGAATGGTCACCATATTTCATGCTGCTACTGTTGTTGCCACCGCGCATGGGAATGGAAATTGGCCTACTGTTAACTTTTGAGAAGATGTCGTTGTCATTTTGCTTGATGGCTGCAGCAGCGACGAGGCCGTCGAAAGACGAGCGATAAGTAGGCCAAGTCTGGCGATCAGATGATTCATCGCTAGCTTCGCCAGATTCCATGTCCACATCGCTACTACTGCTGGCGTCCTCAAGACTAGGTATCATGGACGTGAGAGGACGCTCTTGAATCCTGTGAGCCAAAAGTGCCATAGCAGAACTATATGATTCTGATTGTGGATGCAAGAAGCTGGACGATGGCATCGAGGTGGTGATACACGAATCGAAGGTTGCGAAGGCGCGTTTCTTGCCAGCTTGCCATAACGATGGTGGCTCGGAGGCATAGAGTGGATTATCGTGAAAATTGCGCTCGTCAGGCGCTGAAAGACTCATAAGCGTCTCGGCCACTTCAGAATCGATCATGGCTGACTATTGGGAACGGGTGGCTGTGCTAGCGTCAAACGACTTTTGCAACGAGTTTGTGATCAGTGCTTAGAGCCTTGGTCGTTACGATTTGGCTTTTTGAAGAGTGGATTGCTGTGTGGCTGCCGTCTCTGCGCCTCCTGGCGTTTAGGGCCTCGAAAAGTTTGTCTTAATCTCTGTATAAAGAGGCCAGTTTTTACTCTCTTGGTGTCTGTCAAGCAAAATCCATTTGGTCATTGTATGTGCGCCAAGTTCAAGCTGACAACACAGGGCAAGGGATTTAAAAAGCTTACGAATGCTCAAAGTGTCGAGATTGCGTCTCGGGGAGCCATACAATCGTAAATGAAGCCAACAAGTTATCGACAATGACGCACGTTGCGACAAAGTGAATATAGTAATGATCTGCACCAAAGTCTAGGCTAAGATGTAATTAATGAGTATCTTTCTACAAATTCCACAGTATCGAACATACACAAATGTGCTGCCTGCGGTCCGAGTTTGAAAATCTGTGAAATACAATCGCACTTTTTCTCTCGACTTTACTTCGGTGCAAGTTCTTTGTAGATGGGCTGACCATTGCCTGATCGATACTCGTACGTTTGATTATTCGTTGACTAAAGAAGCGACTGCAAATGGTACCTCTGCCCGCCATCCAACCGATTAAAAACGGGATGTGCCATGCTGGGAAGGCGCTTATTAAAGGAGAAGGTGAAAGTATGTATATGAAATGACGCTTGACTCCTGATAGTGCACTAGATAAATTTGATACTGATTGCTGAGACCTATCAACAGTGCAGAAGCTGGCTTGCAATGCATGAAAACGTATAGTATTATGAATCATACACCAACAAACCGTTTTATCCGGCGAATTTATCTTGAATAATCAGCCTCTGTTTTATATATACTGTCGTGCGAATGGAGACCTTGACAACGCAGCAGGCGCTACCTTTGCCGGTCAAATCATCGCCAGTCAAAATACATCCTGAGGATAACGTTGACGCGCTTAAATGTAGCCTCGCAGTGACTTTAGCTGAAACTTGCGGAATTTCTGTCAGGGAGCGATCGGCGAGCACTGTCAGTCTCGTAAAAAGCTCAGAGACCAGCGAAGTCCGTCGGGAAGATGGCACTAGTGAAGCTGCCGAGAAGGGACTCACAAAACATCTTGTTCAGGATTTGGCGATAAAAGAATCTCATGTGTTTCATATGCAAAGGCACATGCAAAGCATGCAACAGCGAGTAAATAGACTGCAATTGATATTGCAGGAGGCTGCACGATGTAGTAGACTTGGCTCGTCTTTACAAAAGTCTACTACTGGTTCAATGCGATCAACATCAATGACACAAGTGGATGTACTTACAAATGACTTGACGCAAGCGAATTTGGGATCTCATAAGATTCAGTGGGCACATTTGGCGTCGTCCTTCGCTCTTAAGACAGCAAGGCACGCCTTAATAAATGAACCGAATGATATGAAAGAACGCCAACAAAATGGATCCTTTACCAACGTTGATGTTGTATCCATTGCAAACGCCGAACTACTAAAAAAGACTGAAACTCTTCAGGTAGAGCTGAAGAATGCAAGAGACGAAAACAAACAGCTTCAGCTTACAGTCCTTAGTTTAGAAAAAAAGTTAGCGCAATTGCACAATCAGAAAGGGACTAACTCATTGATAGAATTAGGAAGCAATCAAATTTCCAATAATGCGCTGGATGATAAAGCAAGCCAAGATCACGAAAACAGCCACTCGCGATTTAAAGTCGCACAATTTGGCAGACCAACCGCCATCCAAATGGTCATTGAGGAAGATATGACGGTTTTAAGAAATCACGAGCAGTGCCAACGCAAATTGCATGAACTATGGGACATTGCCAAGAAGCTACGGGCGTACGTTGAATTGTACCAATTTGAGCGAGATGTCATGAAAACTCAGCGCGACGATGCGATTGCTGATAGTAAGCGAGCAGAAGCCGAGATCATTCAGCTAGCTAGTAGCAGCAATCCGCAGCAGAGAATTAAGTATTTACAGAAAATCAAAAGGGATAACCAGGTGCTGCGTCAGAAGAATCGCGCGTTAAATGTGAGAATAGCCAAGATGACAATCTCTCGGCACAAGAATGTCTGCCAAAGTGCTGCAGATAATAATGAGTCCTCAATTGACACCACTTTGAAACCACTGGCACTTGGTGACATGCTGCAAGACGAGCGTGACGAATCCGTCACGTGGTCTGGCGATGAATATATACGCAACATACGTGAGCGTGGTGAACGCTTGGAGCGACGGCTTGAAAGCTTGCGTTTGGCGAGACGGAGCGTTCATGGCATCCTGGAAAAGTAGGTTTCTTCGTCTTAAAGTTTAGAATGTTAAAGAACAGTGAATATTGTATATTTTTCGATTGGTTAAATTTGATGGAGAATACGTATGCTGATAGCGAGAGCTCTAACCATCTGGATAGCTATGCGTCCGCTGCTGGGCTCCTACAGCTTCGCTCTGCTTCAGCTGAAGCAAATGTCGAAATCCCCACTAGCAGTCCTTACGATCAAGAATGTAATCATATTGATAACAGCAGCGACAGTCCAGCCATTTCGTCGACCCCACCGCTACCACCAGGATGGCATCAAATCATGCACGGTTCAGGTTTACCCTGTTACGTCCATGATGTTCTAGGCGTTGTTTGTTGGACCCGACCATATTTATTGAATATTAAAGGTGAAGGTCCGGAGTCGCAGCAAGAGTTGCATTCTCTCGTGAGGCAGCATTTGCCGCCAGTGAGCATTTTCACGCCTAGATTGGACCTAGCCGAGCGAAAGAAAAATGATTTATCAGGTGTAAACAATGTTGCAACTAAGATGTCATCGGTATATCTTCAAGAATCAAATAGTGTAAGGAATGACTTTATCTGCACAAGGACAAGAGGCAGTTTCTCTTTTGGTAAATAGCAACAACTGGCGAGTAACATCTTTTTACATTGTTGTGAAAGCAGAAAAAGCGCAAGTTAGATGTGCTGAAGGGAGACCAAACGGCAATTGGAAAGCAGCAATCTATGGTAACCTTTTTTGATTACTGAGTCCTTACAAACTAATTTTCTCGATAAGAGCTTACAAAGTGACAATTTTACATGCAGACCTTGAACGAGTTCAAAAATCTTTCCATTGACGATCCGCGTGTTCTACAGGTGCAATTCCTTGCGTGTGTATCTTCAATTAGCTATGATCAGACGTAGTATTGATAGACTTTATTACAGGCATGTATGGAGTTATCGATCAAAACACCTGCACAAGTCCTCCAAGAGTACCAAAACCGAAATCGTGGTGTCTCAATCAATTACAATATGACGTCTATAGAGGGAGATGGTGTTAAGCTTTTCAAAACAATCGTGACTGCTGGCAGCACAGTTGCCGAGGTAGATTGCAAATTAAAGAATATCGATCTGCGCTTTTTGACAACTTTTTAACTGTATAGGGCATTGCCTCGACGAAAAAAATCGCAAAGCAGTTAGGAGCTCAGCAGTTGTTAGCGATGCTGCACGAGCGTACAGCCAAAAAATATTATGAAGTAGCAGAGATGTATAACAGTTCTCTGAGAGGCCAGTATGTTACCGCCGAGTCATTCGTGTATGGACCTGCGATCCCGTTACTTACTGGTTGCAAAGATGGACGTATCGATAGTGGTCATGTCGATCCTCGCCTACAGCGTGGTGCGAATGCTCTAGGTCGAATGGATCCTCGCCTGCAGCGTGGGGGTAGTGCCTCTATTCGAACGGGACGGACTCGTCGATTGGTTTCTGATCATGAAGATGTTCCTGGATACTGTGAATATAAACCTGATCGACACGTGAATGCGCCATCTTGTCGTAATAAATACAAATATCAGCATGTATCACAGCAATCAATTCCATGGACACTTGATGACGATTCAAGAACGGACAGAGTTGGGTCCGAGCGCATAGTTGTGTACTCTCAATCAGCGACTGGTACTGCTGGAAATGGTGATGAACAGAACTGTGGAAGCTCATGGAGCGGGAACTCAACCGCCAATTACCTTCAACAGCAGAATAATATACCGCGAGATTGTATCCAGCAGTCCAATAGTGGATCACATATATTGCCTGGTAATAGGCGGTTTGGTGAAGGTCGTCAATGGTGAATCGTTAAGATAATTTGAGTTACGGTACGTGGCTCGTATGTTCTTTGCCTGCTGTTATAATCGAAGTGATTGAGATGTCGCTGTATTGTATTGCAGGCAAATATTCAGATACTTTATCATTAACACATCTAATTTAAATCGCGATGTTTCAAATTGTACAGCGATGTTTTTGATTATTTGAAATCAATCGCCCGTGAGTTAATTTTGCTGATGATTAGCATCAATGAGAAGGAATAGATTACTCTCGAGGATACTTTCTTAAGAATAGGGACAGGCAAAAATTATTAATCAGCGATAAGCAAAGCAAAATTGCAACTTCCACATAACGTTCGCTACATCAGGTAGCACTAGAGTCAGAAGTATAATGACATTATTGTAGTCATCGTAATAGATATCGTGCTGAACCTCCGAAAACACAACTAATTCTGCATCCAGGATTCGAAAGTGTAGTATTTGCGATTTCGGAGCTGCTCAACCGCATATATGCTACAAACATAATAGAGCAAGGCACCTACAATCGTTAATTAAGAAATCAAATATATTTTCTATGAAGCAGAGCCTCAGCTTACCAATCTTGTGCATTCCAGAAAAAATTAAATAGCCGAAGTTGTCCCAAATTTTTATACGATCGTTTTCTGACGAAAGTAAAGTCTACAAATGAGACGATGTGCGGTTAAAGGCTTAATAGTTATTCAGTGATAGCAGGCGGCCTACCATCCGACAGGCGACCAAAATGACGGTCAAACAAATATACAGGGGATGCATTAGAAGCACAATGCGAAATTGAGAGTATAGCATGCCGAAGAGGCCACTTCGAAACAAGAAGGTGCCTGCTAGTAGCACAAACAGATTGAATAGAGCTGTTATTTGCAGCACAACCTGCACACTATGGTCAATCCATCCAAAATGAAGTTGCAACTTTCGCAAATATATTGAAGCAGCGCCGGCACTCACAAGGTGGCGATCGAGTCAACATCATTATCGAATGTTTCTTGCCCCGGTAAGTCTCCATACTCTATCAGTGCATTAAGCACAACATCCACAAGATTTAAGCTCGCAGCGAGTGCTGCACTCACGTCAAAGAATGGCGGCAAATAATGGACATTTTTCATGGGTGTAAGATAAATAACAATCTTTCTTTTGAATTCATCCTGTTGCATTTAACCTGTTGAATTGGATGGTTTTTGTTTAACGTGTGGTACATACAATTGGTAGTATACAATGTTCCATAGGGAGGCTTATGAAATTCCGACTCATAAAGTGCGGAGTTGGTAACACCCTCACAGGCAAAATTGAGAAGGAGTTTCCGTGTACCTTGCTAAAAGTGTAACAGGCTACACGTACCCTTGTATGAAGGGGTGGGCCACACAAGATGGTGTGACCATTCATAGGTGTGGATTATACATGACAGTGTAATCACGCAATGGTGTAGCTACACCGTAGTAAGAAGCCACTGATTGGCGGGACTGCCAGTAGTTATTCGTTTTAATTAGGTTTTACTATTTTATCTTAGATTTAGGCTGCAGCAGAGCTGTTGAAGCTCTTTGCTTAGAGAAAGCTCAGCTAAGATAGCCAACCTAACGTTCTTTCCAAGAACCAGTACAAGTGTAGCGGATCGCAATCCGCTACCTCTAAGCACTATATTTTGCCAAGGCAAACGAACACTTTTGTTCAAAATTAAAACTGTATTTAAATGTTATAGTTGCGGCAGAGCCGCCAATATCGAATAACTTAGGGTTTCCTAATTAATGCAGTAATACCTAATTGATATGGCAGAACCTAATAAGGTAATGTAGTGATATGCATTACTACTGGCAACCCTGACCTTTTGTTACGGTGTGTGTGATTACACTAACTTGTGTAATACACCTACGTACGGCCGCACAATCTTATAAGGGTACGTGTAACCCCGTTCCACTCTCCCCCATTAAATTGTGAATTTTTCCAATTCACATTTAACAGGTCGCCTCATACGAGGCTCGCGTGTCTGAGACACCTTAATGATCTTCGGAAAAAATTTCAAACATTCTCCGCATTATGAGCTTTTTGTCTACGACTCGCAAAACACCCAGCCTAGCTGGTTGCGAGGATGCCAGCGGGCATGACCTTTCTTTTTCATCTGCACAGAGTGCATCTTTGGACAGTACGTCCACGGCTTCACAGGAAGTACATAGCCCTCGGCAACTGAGTGCAACACACCGCGCCTGCCCCGGCCGAAAGATTTCCTCGTCAAAAAATCTAGGTGGTCGACTACGAGTCGAAAACTCCATTCTCAGAATGAGATAACGAGGAGGATAAAGTACGTTAACGGCGCGACGTGAACCATCTCAAATCTTCCTGACACCATATCCGTTCCCCGACCTCTCGGCTTCCAGGGGAAGTGGTATAATAACCAATCGTCTCGACGAGGCACAGGAGCAGCAATTGGAG